ACCCTGGCCTTCCGCTGTCCCCGCGGGCCGGGCCAGCCCGCACCGGGCCAGGGCCGGGCGCAGACCGGCGGAGGGTGGAAATGATCGCGGAGGGAGGCAGAGAGGCCCGGCCCGGCCCAGCCCCGCCCAGCGCGCACTCCCATACACGCCGCGCACCCCCTCACCTGCCGCCAGCCAACCACGCCCTGCCGCCTAGCAGGAAGCGGGTCCCGCACCGCTTCCGCCCTTACTTTAACGTCACTTCCGCCCAATTAGGGCGTCCCAGGAATGCCAAGGCGAGCTTACCGCCCAGCCGGGTGAGGAGAGGAACTGCGCGTGCGCGAGTTGGAGAGCGGGGCGGGGCGGGGCGGGGCGCCGTGCCTGAGGCGCCCCCCGGCGGCGGGGCGGAGTGGCCGTCTTGTGAGGCCGGAGCCACCTGCCCGGTGCGTTGCCCGAGCACTATGGGGAATGGCCTTGCGTTGTGTGTCCTTCCTGAGCCCCTGCTGGCACTGCCGCCCTCCTTAGTGTTAGAGAAGCATCTGGGTTGGAAAACACCTCTAAGATCATCAAATTTACTGTTACTGCAGGACTGCCAAATTCAACACTAAACCAAGTAACCGACGGCTTCATCTGCACGATTTCTGAACACCCCCAGGGATGGTGATTGCACCACTACCCTGGGCAGCCTGTGCCAATGCCTGAGCACCCTCCCTGTGAAGAACTTGTTCCTAATATCCACTCTAAACCACCCCTGCTGCAGCTTGAGGCTATTTCCTCTTGTCCTGTCACTTATGTGGGAGACCTTTGCCCACCTCACTATCAACCTCTTTTCAGGTAGCTGTAGAGTGACAAGGTTCTCCCCTGAGCCTCCCCCACACCAAACACCCCAGTTCCCTCAGCTGCTCCTCATCACACCTGTGCTTCAGACCCTTCATCAGCTTCATTGCCTTTCACTGGACCCACTCCATCACCTCAATGTCTCTCTTGCAGTGAGGGCCCAGAACTGAACACAGGATTTGAGGTGCAGCCTTACCAGTACCCAGTACAGGGGGACAATCACATCCCTGGCCCTACTGGCCACGCTATTTCTTATACAGGCCAGGATGCTGTTGGCCTTCTTGGCTGCCTGGGCACAAGCTGCTCATGTTCAGCTCTCAGTCAGCACCCCAGGTCCTGTTCCACCCAGCAGCTTTCCAGCCACTCTTGCCCAAGCCTGGAGCATTGCATGGGGCTGTTGTGCCCCAGCCTCTGTGCTGGCCTGAGTTGCAGGGAGTGGGCAGGAGGAGACAGTCATCTGCCTGCCCCACAACAGGGCAGAGGCAGGGCAGGGACCCGCTGAGGCTCCTCGGAGCACTGGCGGTTGCCTTGGTGAGGAGGCGATGTGCCTTCAGCATGCCTTCACAGAGGGGCCCTCACCAGGGCTCCCGGTTCTGTGATCAGGACCCCACTGCAAAGAGAAGGTGGTGTTGGCACAGCACTCGTTCTAGTTCCTGACACGTGCTGCAGAGTCATGGATTTAGGTAAAACCCCACAGATGTTTTTTAATTGCCACATTCAACCCTGCTTCTGTGCCTGGCTGCTTTTCTGCTGCCATGTACAGAGCATGGCAAGCAAAAGGGGGATCTCTGACTCATATACTTGTTTTCTCTCCAGTGCTCATGTTTAGAGTTGGGCAATTTAAAAATTGAAGTCGTAAAATAGTGGATATTTTTAAGTACACTCTACTTGTTTGTTCTTGTGTCGTTTTTATACTGTCCTTCATGCATGCATTCAGGCAACCAGGTTCTTCCAGCACAAATGCTTATGAAAAGTGAATTTGAAGAGTGCATCTGTAAATATAAAAATCCACATTTTAAAAGGGTATGTGCTACACATGACGGGGTATTTGCATGCTCATCCATTTCAGGATCAGAAACAATTTCTCAAGACGTAGGTAAACAGTTACAACTTAACGCTATTTGAATAGCAAATACCAGTTTTTGAATGCACACAGGGAACATTTGTAATTGATATGTAGCATTAAAAACAGTACACAAGGAAAACAATGAGGCAAGCCTCTTCAAGCAGTGAATGCACTTGAACACATTAGGACCCACTCATGCATATTCAATTAGGGGGAAGAAAGGTAAATCCATTCCAGAAATTGTCTGTGCAGATTCTTTGCTTGGCTCCACTTCTCTGAAATGGGAAGCAGAGGTGGGTGATGAGAAGCTCAACATGGCCCAGCAGTGTGCACTCACAGCCCAGAAACCAACCGTGTGCTGGGCTGCATCAAAAGGAGCGTGAGCAGCAGGTCAAGGGAGGTGATCCTGCCCCTCTACTCTGCTCTCATGAGACCCTGTCTGTAGTACTGTGTTCAGCTCTGGGGCCCCCAACACAAGAGGGACGTGGGCCTGCTCAAGCAAGTCCAGAGGAGGGCACGAAGATGCTCAGAGGACTGGAGCACCTTTCTTACGGAAACATGCTGAGAGTTGGGCTTGTTCAACCTGGAGAAGGGAAGGCTTTGGGAGACATTTCAGCAGCTTCCAGTACCTAAAGGGGGCCTACAGGAAAGCTACAGAGTGGCTTTTTACAAGAGCATGTAGTGACAGGACAAGGGGGGATGGCTTTAAAGTGGCAGAGAGTAGATTTAGATTATATATTAGGAAGAAATTCTTCCCTGTGAGAGGTTGCACAGAGAAGCTGTACTGTCCATCCCTGGCAGTGTTCAAGGCCAGGATGGATGTGGCTTGGAGCAACCTGGTCTAGTGGAAGGTGTCCCTGCCCATGGCAGGTGTTGGAACTAGGTCTCTTTTGATGTCCCTTCCAATCCAAACCATCCTATGTTTCTATAAGCCTGAAGCAGGGGAGTGATGTTAGACCTGGTGGAGCTGCACACGAGATCAGGAGCCAGCAGCAGCAGCTTCCCCCCTCTGAAATGAGCCTGCAGGAGGGTGCAGTGCTTGCCTCTGTGATGTTTTAATGATAGGCCTGGTAAGACCCATCAGTATGGAGAGCATAAAGGCACTACGCCTAGGAGCTAAGCACCAGGGTAAGAGCTACTGAAATCCTCCAATGAAGAAAGAAGGTTATAAGGAATGAAAAATCCTTCCAAAAACTCAAAGCAGACAAAAAAAACATCTAGCCAAGCCTGAGCAAGGAGCCTGTGTGTGGGTGTCAGGACCTGTCAAAAACAAAATAGGGAAGCGGATGTAAGAAGCAACAATCCAATCTATTCTGATTCACTTTTATTTATATACCACTGACGGAAAGCCCTCCAAATGCTTGCTGCTGCTTGGGTAAAAATCCAATTCACTGCCTTTATCAAATTCAGAGAAAGCAAGAAGTGATGGCAGACTGACACAGCCCCTTCCTATGTTCCCCTCCCAGCCACCCTGAGGAAGAAGAGCCAACAGGTTGGATAATCCACCATTAAAAGGCAAAAAGAGAGCTAACATGGAGAAAGGGGAAGCAGTGAACCTCAAGCCAGGCAGGCAAAGAGGTGATGGAGCAGCAGGTGTACAGCAAGCTGCACATAACAAGTGATATGGTAGCACTGGATTGGAGAAAGCACTGGAAAGACACTGGTAGTAGGTGAGAGGCTGTAAGTCACAGCAACTTTGGTCATATATCAAATGTCTTTCCTGTGAAGGCAAGACCTATCTATCCAGGCACAAGTGGTTGTGAACAAGAGTGCAGAAAGGGTCTGGAGGCAAATCAGTAGAGCAGCTGCTGAATACAGTGTTCAGTTCAACCACAGAAGCAGTAGGCTCTGGCTGGTTGCATCTCCCAGTACATGATACTGGCTGGTGGAGACCAGGCAGAAAGAAACGGACACCATCTCTTCTCTCTCCAGAACGAAGTTCACCGGCTACATTTCAGAACCTCTCACTGGCTCATTTTCAGTGGTCATGAGGACAGGATCCTTCTGCTTAAGCAGGGGCTGTGCTCATGGGAGCCGACTGGCACCTCTGGCCACCAAGCTTGCCCTGCTACTGCTTTGTACTGGCAAGTCCGAGCCAACAATAACAAAATCACACAGAGTATGTTTCTCCCGTAATGAAAGGATCACTAATCCCCACTGTTGCCCAGGTACAGGAAGGTTGATACAGAGGCGAGTCAGGAAGACAAGATTTTCCATAGGGTGCAAAAAGTAGTGCCTTGTGGTGTGCCAGGTCATGCATGACAGCATAGCAGAGGCTTTGCAGTTAGGAAACGTGCTAACTACTGGTTTGGAAAATGCCCCCTGGCTTTCCTAGAGCAATTGTCCAAGTCAATTCCAGCAGGAAACACCAGTTGGGAGGGGGGAGCTGAAGAGAGGTGCTGTGTATGCATGGTGGCAGTGCCACTTTCAGTCACTTGTTCTGCTGCGGCAAGATAGTGACCTGGATCCTCCCACACCCCAGTCAGACCTGCTTTTGCTCTTGGCCCATTGAATAAATAAAGCCAGATGTTTCCACCAGTCTTCTTGCAGGCTGTGGAGAGGCTTTGCATGCTCTGCTTTGGTCTTAGCTGCCCACAGAATCTCCTCTCTGAACAACTGGCTGATCCAGAGCTGCTCGAGGCACATCAGATTTTCTGTGCTTTTGCACGCTGCTCTCTGGCTAACTCTAGAGTGCTTAATCTGCCTGTTAGCTTTTCCATCACCACAATATTCATGTGCTTCCACCCTGCCCAGAATCCAGAACTCTTTTTTCCTGTAGGCTCATTGCAATTATCTATACATAAACTGATCACTTATCTGTTGTATTGCAGCCATAAATTCATGTGCAAAAGCCAACCCTTTTACATAGACATTATGTTTGAACTTATTTTTGCTTTTTTGAAACTGCATTTTCCTACCACCGCTTTTTCTCAAGTAAAAAAAAAAGCAAGCCAACAATCCCAACCTTCAAAACGTTAAATTAATTTGCTCTTTCTCTTGCTGCAGTGTCTTTTACTGAGCAAAGTCACCTTGGGCAAGTAATTAAAGCCTCACTTTCCTCACTAGAAAAATGGAAACAATAATATTTTTCCATCTTTGATACCTTTAGGATGGAAAATGTTACTACTTATTATTTATTACAATGTTTTACACTAAAATTTAATAACATGAAACTCAGAACCTGAAGGGAAAATGTAAAAACGAAGGTGAGGAGCATACAAAGTGCTGCTGTGGTTGAGTATTTTGAAGACGCTGGAAATACTTCATAGTCTGTTGAGTAGTGTTTGTCAAATATTCAGGCAGAGCTGGCTGAGTTGCTTTTCCACCCTCAGGACAGGGCCAGAAAACAGATCAGATTTTACTCCAGACAGCCCTCTTGTTTTGCAGTTTTTCATATCCAAGGGAATGTTTTGCTATTCCAGTTGGACATAGGGTTCATCTCACCTAACATATAGAAGTGTTTGGAACTCAGGTTTTGCTTCAGGTCTGATATAGCATTGCCTTGGAAGAACAGGCAGGATCCTTGTCCTCCTTGAACATCTGTCCCTTGTTCTGTGTCTGGTGACAAATGAGCACCTCCTCTGAGTGCATGCTAGCCATCAGTATATGCTCACAGAATGTTGAATGTAGACATAACTAAACCATGTTCTGCCATTTGGGAGACAAAAGTAATATGCTATGTACTGTATGCAACATAAGCACAGTACCTGAGTGATGGCTGCAAGACTGAGAGGCTGCTGCTCCTTGCCTCATATAAATTATCCCGAAGGATCCCTTCCTTCTCCTTTGACTTCATCAGGTTGGACAGGGCTTTAAGCAACTTGGTCTACTGGAGGATGTCCCTGCCCATAGCAGGGGGTTGGAACTAGATGGTCTTTAAGCTCCCTTCCAACCCAAACCATTGTGTGATGCTGTGATTCTGTAATCTGTCCCTTTTTGCCTTCTCTGCCACTCTTGTCAAATTCCCCTCCTCAACCCCTTCTGGTTCTACCTTTTCTTCCCTATCATCCAAGACTCCTCCTCAGCCCTGGAATCACAGCTTTAAACATCACTCACCAGCATCACATAACTTACTCTTCATGCGTGCCAGAGCCTTTCTGACATCCTGTGCCTGCAATGCGTGTCAGACTGTTAAGTTCTCCAGGGCACAGCGGGCTGCAATGTTTCATGCAGGGCTTGGGCTGTGGCTGCTTCTCAGGCAGTGCTGGAAAAAAAACCATGATTAACAATAACAATGCAACTTCTTCAGTGCACACGAGTATCAAATAACCTGTGTGTAACTATCATAGGTTAAAATGGTACCTTTTTTTACAGCTGCACTGGACACATGTCTCGTATTAATGCCTCTTGAAGAAGTCTGTAAGGAAAGGCTGGACTGCAACGGTCTCCATCCTAAGTGTCACTGGAAAGACTTTTAGCTACAGATTCCAAAATGTCATTCTTAGCATTGCATCCGCACAAATTTGTGTACTTTCAGTTAAGTGCCTTTGTTGACTTGGGAAAAAAAGAAAGCACATTTATGAAATAATGGTAATTTGAGGAGAAAAAAGGTAGCAAAGAAATAGGTAAGAGAGTAGAAACTCCCTGGCATGGAGCACAGATGAGGACAGTGATTCCCACACATTCTTTTATTCTGTGTCTCCTTTCCACATCCCCACAGCACCCCCAGCGCTGTGAGTCCTGAGCAGGTCTGACCTCAGTGACATGTGAGATCTGAGGAGAGCACAGCACATAGCAGTATGGCTGCAGGCTAATGCTTTTATTTTCGTAACCGTGTATTCCTAGGAGCATGGTAACAAGAGTTAGGGATCAAATCCATGCTTCCTGCATAACTGAACAGAGTATTCCTGCTAGGCTACCTGGGAAGAGATCAAACATCCTATACCAGGCCTTAAAAAAAAAAATAAATAAAGGGAGAAATACGAAGAACAGCCATGGTCGTAAGAGAAAAGCAACAAGTATTCTAAGGCATACACTTAATCACGCTCCTAACAGGACAGAATACTTGCTTAATTTTAAAGTAAACACATACAAAACTCACAAAACTCCCAGACACCCTGCTATTTGCCATGCAGTCCCAGTTACCATTGCATATCCAACCCAAAAGTCAGCTATCCAAACCTTCTCGAACTTGTTTCAGACATGAACCTCGTTGCTGGCCATTCTTCTATTGCTGTGATGAAGTTTGGAGTTGTCACAAGCTGACTAATCCCCTTTGGTCACATGAAGAGGACATTAAGGATCCAAGGATCCTTCATCCAGGGATGAATACAACTACCGGCTACTGTGTTATTAAGTCGTGACCATCATTCTCTTGGTTGACCACCTTAAATCATAGAATGGTTTGGGTTGGAAGGGACCTTGAGATCATCCAGTTCCAACCCCCTGTCATGGGCAGGGACACCTTACAGTAGACCAGGTTGCTCCAATCCCCATCCAATCTGGCCTTGAACACTGCCAGGGATGCGGCAGCCGCAGCTCCTCTGGGCACACTGTTCCAGTGCCTCACTACACTCACAGGAAAGAACTTCTTCCTTACATCTAACCTGAACTTTCCCTGTTTAAGTTTTAACCCATTACCCATTAAGTTCCTTTAGAGCAATGTGGGTGCTAAATATCAGACCTTGTTTCCAGGTCACTTTTTTTTCTGCCATTCTGAAATAAATAAATGTCAGCATTCTGATGAAAATCCACTGCATTCTCTGCATGGCTTTGGACATGCCTTTTTTCTTCCTAATCTTCTGGACTTTTAATTCCTAACAGAAAAAAAAAAAAAAGGAATTTTCAAGAACATTACTTCCTTTTTTTTTTTTTCCCAATAGCTCTTTTAAAAATTCATGTTTTTCAAATCATGTCTATTTAATCCAGGAACTCTTAATAGTATTTTATCTGTTTCCCACATTAGCTTCAGTATGTTTAAATGTACATTTAATGCTTCAAGACAGAAGTCATTGCTGGATACAAATTGGAGAATTTCTGAATATATTTGGAAAGTTAATAAAAACCAAAGCATGAAACGAGATGGAACACATCTTTACATTAAAGATTAGAGTGAAATATAACTGAAGAGAGAAAGATGTTCTATTAAAAGCCTACTGAAAATATTAATGTGTATTAAGAACCTACTGACAAATGCTTGCCTAAATAGTAACAGCAGGACACTCAATACATTTTAGGACAGAATGTTTCCAAACAGAATAATGAGGGTGAAAGAAAAAAAAGGAAACCAACCCCCCACCCCCCAACCCAACCAAAAATTGAAGTTTTTATGAAATAATTTGTTTTAATTATTGTCACCATCAATTAGGACTCCGTCCTGCACCATTTAATTGTACTTTTGACACTGCCATCTAGAAACATATTTCAGAAAATGATGTAATATGTGGTAAAGAAAAATGTGCACTGAAAAAATTCCTTTAATAAAAGCTTATTTCTGCAGAGTTAGTTTCAAGCTTGAAACAATTTTTCATCTTTTCAAATCTAAAACCTAAATAACAGAAATCAATATTCCCCGAGACTTACCTCTGTGAGAAGAAGTCTATCTGAACTCTTTGCTGTTAATGGCAAGCTCCTCTTTTAGGATGTAAGGGGGTGTTCAAATGGCTGGGTTGTGTGGATAATTGGTTATTTGATTCAGTTGTTGAACCAAAAAATGAAACCCTGCTTCTTTCCAAAGTCAACCTCAAATCACAGTTTTTATTGTATTTGGTAAATAATTTAAACTCCATAGTTTTAGGGTAAAAAATAAACTATTTGCTTGGTTGGGACCAAATTTAGTTCTCCCATTCTTTTTCCAGGTATATACAATAAACCCAAAGAACTGGATTCATAAAAGAGCTGAGGGATCACCTTCAGAGATGTTTTTCCAATTTCTACTCAACTGCAAACCTAGGAAAAACTTGAAATTCTTATGTGAAATATTTTTTTCCTGAATGAGCAGTGACATACATGTTAAAACATTTCCAGTGATGTTATTACTCTTGCATTTCAATCTTTCAAATGCTTTCTATTGCTGTTAAGTATTCACATGAAGTTATTTCATTTCAAAGCTTACCATATCAGGCTATTAGAACGCCTCTGTGCTGCAAGCCAAATTTCCTGGTGGTCCTTAAAATTATGCCATATTAACAGCCTTGTAATAACTGTATACCAAGGTGCCATGTTAATGTCACAAGATTTTTCTCTAGAAACATGAATTTATTTTGCATCTGTATTGCAACATCAGGTCCCTACTTATTTCTATTTCTAAGACCTACAGATATAATCTTTATTTTCATCTACAAAGCAGTAGGATATATCTCCCACTTCAGCTTTTAATTCCCCCCCCTCCATTTTAGGGAGATGTGAACAGGCAAAAATAATACTGTGTGCAACACAACATCCATTTTAACAGTATCTTTGTCACTGTTTCACAATGAAACCACTGCATTCATTTAATAAATATTTCTAATAGTACTTCTATGTGCTAGCTAAACTGCATTGCCCATTGTTTTAAAAATGGTAAAGTTAAGCATCAATAAATAACTACTCCAGGTTTTCTTTTTTTTTCCCTGTTTTTGGGAGAAGACAAAGGGCTTAGGAAAAAAAAACACTCTCAAGACTTACAAGTCTGGGGAGTTTCATACAAACTGGAGAGCATGGAAGGGGAGTGTACCTTACACTCCAGTGGTAAAGCCTCTTTCCTGAGAAACAGGTTACATTTGTGCACCCCTGTGGCATGTGGCATCATTCAGTCATGGTCCATGTGAGCGTCCTGACCCCAGGAGCTGCTGAACAGGATGGCAGATGGGTGATGGTGTAGGACTTCCCTCTGTCCCCGCCACCTTATGACCTCATCCAGGACATCCAAAAAATTTGTTTAAAAATACATGGAAAAGAAGCATTTTGGCATTCCTATGAAGTTGTCCTCATTGTTTTAGATGTCCAAAATGCTCAGTGAGTACATCTCAAATTCACAAATAATTTTGCATTGACTGAATATTTATATTAGAAAATAAACAGTTTATGACCAATAATTCACTGCATCAATTTCAACATGGCCATAGGTGAGCACATCCACTAACATGAGCCAGGAACCAAGAATTTTGATCAGGAAGACAGAACCACAGCCAAGCTCCTAACCTCTCAGCTCAGGCTCAGCTTCAATAACAATGAAAGACATGTTCTCAGATCTATGTGAATCATCAATATGTCCTTGAATTTCCCATTGAATGCAGGGAATCAGGGTTGAGCCCAGAAATCCTCTAAGTTTGTTTGAGGGAGCCTCTCTGTCTATTTTTGTCTAAGTATTTTGCTGTTGGGCAAAGGTGCTGAGCTGGATTGCTAAAAACAAGCTGCATCTCCTCTGAAGGGTGAGACAGCACAGATCTCCTCTGTCTGCAAAGCCTCGGGGTACTCCTGCCTTTACAGCGGGCAGTTGTGGATATGCCTGTGTATGGTGCAGGGGACTTACAGATTTGATCTTTCTTTCCAGCATGCAGGGAAGTAGCCTAAGCACAGATATGGCCAGGGCAGGTAAGTCAAACAGCATTATGAGCAAGAAGCTGTCTCGTAAGGAAAAAGAGTCAAAAGAACTCTGGACTATCACAAAAGAACTGCTGTGGGTGGGAAGGAATATCTGAAAGAATCCAAATATATAAACATAAAGGAAGAGAAGGGTTATCTCAAAATGGGTAAGTACAATTTATCAGAAAACAAATTAAAATATAAACCAGCTACAAGAATATTCCTTAAAATTCAAACTGGCCTGGCATTGATGGCACTAGCTCCAGTGGGGAGTAGGGCAGCACTTACCTCTTATTATGCTTACTGGTATTTGCAGTTATTGAGAGCTCCTGGTTTTATTTTGGGCCTATAGTCATGCAAATGGTGGCACAATACTCCACCATGTCTCTGTCACTGTAAAGTACTTCATATTCTCCAGAGGGACCCTGACACGCTTGTGAGGTGGGCTGATGCCAACCTCATGAAGTTTAACCATGACAAGTGGAAGGTCCTACACCTGAGTCGGAGCAATCCCAGGCACAGCTACAGAGAAGAGATTCAGGGCAGCCCTGCAGAGAAGGACTTGGGGGTACTGGTCAATGAGAAAATGAACATGAGCCAGCTTCAGTGTGCACTTGCAGCCCAGAAAGCCAACCGTATCCTGGGCTGCATCAAAAGGAGCATGACCAGCAGGTCAAAGGAGGTGATCCTGCCCCTTTATTCTGCTCTTGTGAGACCTCACTTGGAGTATTGTGTACAGTTCTGGTGTCCTCAACATAAAAAGGACATGGATCTGTTGGAACAAGTCCAGAGGAGGGCCACAAGGATGATCAGGGGACTGGAGCACCTCCCATATGAAGATAGGCTGAGAAAGTTGGGGCTGTTCAGCCTGGAAAAGAGAAGGCTGCGTGGAGACCTCATAGCAGCCTTCCAGTATCTGAAGGGGGCCTATAGGGATGCTGGGGATAGACTCTTCATTAGGGACTGTAGTGACAGGACAAGGGGTAACGGGTTCAAACAGGGGAAGTTTAGATTGGATGTAAGAAGAAGTTCTTTGCTGTGGGAGTGGTGAGGCACTGGAATGGGTTGTCCAGGGAAGTTGTGAATGCTCCATCCCCGGCGGTGTTGAAGGCCAGGTTGGACAGAGCCTTGGGTGACATGGTTTAGTAGGAGGTGTCCCTGCCCATGGCAGAGGGTTTGGAAATAGATGATTTTAAGGTCCTTTCCAACCGTAACTATTCTATGACTCTATGATTCACCACTGCCCCAGGACCCCTAGAAAAGCAATGTAGATGTTACACAGAAGGGAAAGGAACACAAAAAGCAATGCCAAAACAAATATTGTTTCAGTCACATTTCAGTATTTTACATGCCTGTTTTGTTCAGTTTGGTATAATATTGTTTATGTCCTGAAAACTATGCTGTGAAACATAATGGATGTTTTGAAGAATTCCCACTGCTGCTACAGCCTCAGCCACTCAGTTTCCAGTAGCTAAGGACTATATATCCATCACCTGCATGACTACTAGTGCCAGGTTTGCATTAAGAAACAACTGGTTTTATTTAGCTCCTCCTGAAAATTAACTTTGGTTCACTTTTTAACTGACAGGCTTCATTCTGCAGCCACCAGAGTGGAAGAATAAATACTGTTATATTCTTCTATATTTTTATAATGTCACAACTCACACCATATCAGCATTATCTGCATCTGAAAGAATGGCAAAAGGAGGTAAATGGAAACTGCAGACTGATGCTCTGACCTGACAGATTTTTGTGCTTGGCTTGAACCCACTGATTTCAAAATGAGGCCTCATGCACCTGCTTGCCTGGAGCAGCTTATGGGATTAGGGTCAGAACTGCAGCTACCGGGGAAGCATCTCCCACAACTCTGCCTGTAGTTTTTTGTTGTTATCGCCATGCTTATATCATCTTTAGTAGCACTGATGCAGCCTGATCCCTCTAAACTATGTCAGACTAGTAGGAGAGAAAAAAAACACCCACTTGTCTACATTCTCCTTCTTTGTACTCTCTTCATTTTTAAATTTGTTAGGTATGATGACCTCTGTGAGAGTGCCAGATTCATTCTGGCAGACTTGGCTGCTAATTCCTATCTACTAGGACTGAAGGACATCATTTGAAATTGGGATGTCTATTAATAATCTGTTTCTTATCTTAATAAATATTTGTGATTTGTTTGTCTGACACTGATGACATGTTTATTGTAAAAAATATGCTTATTGGTCATGATTCACATTGGTCTCTATTATTTTGGACTGTTTTCATTTTTCCGTAGGCAGCTCATGCTGTTTTATATATTTTGTCACAGTTGGTTGTGTTTTGCCTTTTTGTGCTGATCTCTGTAAAAAACACAGCACAGAAGAAATTAAAACCCACTATTTCCAAAATCATCACTCTACCACATACAATCAGCAGTAATTTAAATGTGTATGAAACCAAGCACCAACCTGAACAGATGGGATACTTTTAAACAAATCATAACTTAAGACAGCAGCAAATAACTCTGTCTCCTTTAGGATCCAGACCTGAAATGAAGACAGAGTCAATGGAAAGACTGGCCTTGTCTTTTGACCATGTCCCAGGTACCTCCATGCTCCTGCACCTTGTCATCTTTGGAGAGAGTATTCTGTTTGCTCAAGTGGCCTTGACCCAGTACCTGATCATGTACGTGATGCTGTCCTTGTTCCTAATAGTGCTCGGAAAGAGTGTTAGGTAAGGACAGCTGAAGCAAAGATATGCTCCCAGCCACAGGATGATGCTGAAAATGCAGACAGGATCAAGGTGAGACCAGACAAACTGATAGAAGGGAAAACTACTGAGGGACTTCTTTTTTAACGCAAGGGTATCACCTCTGGCTCAGGAAGTCTGGTTGGAAGTGTATTTTGGGAAAGCATCACTTTGTGCTGCTCCCACTGTAATTCTCTTTTCTAGGCATCTGATTTTTGTTATTTATATGCTATTTAAGTCTTACACAGTGGATTTCAACTTGACTTTCAAGTTTTGAGTCTCCCTTTTGACCATATTCGGTATGTCTTTGTAACAAATATCCAGACACTCTTGTTTATTGAGAAGTGCTTCAGATGCCTCCCCCCTCACACCTTTGTGCCTCCTTCCACGCATTTACTTCTCTTCCACAACTTCCACATCACTCTTGCCTGCAGACCAAATATCAGTCTTCCCCCGCCTCAGTTCTGCCCACCCCAGTGACTAAGAATCCATGTATGCATCTCCAGTCCCCTCCCTCCTGTTAGTTCTCACCCATCTCCCTGTGTCATGCTTCCAAATTCACCTTGGTTCTCTGCCATGTCTCTCTTCCCCTTTCCAAGGTGAGCGCTGCAAAGAGTGCAGCAGAGGGAAGTGGTAACTGAACCGTCATCTCTGCATGGGATGGAAAGAAAGTGCAGTGCTGCTGTAAGCTTTGGGGATTATTTCTTATTTTCATTTTCTCTATCTTTTAAAACCGAGTGTAGTGTTGTTTGAGAAGGTACTTCTGCTCACTATCTGGGAAGGTCTCCTAGGAGGCTTTTACTTGGGCCAATGAAGTAGCCAGAAAATCAGTGGAGAATTCCTCTCTGGCCAAGTTAAATATTGTAAAGTTTCAGTTGCTTGTCTTGTCGCTAGGTTGGCTTCAACTTTTTCCAAAATCCCAAGAGTTGTGAAGAAATTCACATGACAGAATGGCTTGCACCCAGAGCTTAACCTTAAGCTAATGCATGCAACACAAAAACTAGACCTGTGATCTGCCACCAGTCTACCTATCTTCTGCTCTTTATATCTGGGCTTCCCAAAACTGTGATCTCTTCTGTCCTTTGCAAGAGGCTGTGCACACAGAGGCTCTGGCATATGGCATCAATTGCAGCAGTGTGGATGGTGGTAGCTGCCTGAAGCGATTCTGCTGTGTCCCTCAAAGAAGAGTCTGAAGCAAGTTCTGTTGGTTTTGAGTCACAGGATCCTTCTGGTCTCTTTGTTTGCTCCTTGAAATTCTTTCAGACACCAAAATAGAACCTATCACAAGTCAGCATGTCTGAGCACAAGGGATCCTGTCTGTAAGCAGATTTGGAGGCAAAGGTTAACCTGAGCAGAAGCCTGACACCCAAAATAATGATCAACAAGAGACAGGAACACATCTGAGCAGCAACCTCTTCATCAAATATTTGACCTGCCTCTAGCTGCACCATAGCATGTATCAGCAAGTCTGAAGGATTACCTCAAAAACAAGAAAAAAAAAAAGAAAGACTCAAGTTATAATAAAACTGCATAATTTAAAGAGTTCAGCCTGTTTAGCTTGCTAAAAATAATAGCATCAGGTGAGCTGATCAGTCTTCTCCAAGGAGAGAAGGGCTTTAGGACTAAAGAGTTCTTTAGTGGAGAACGGCATACTCACTTCTGGAAAGTAAAAAGGATAAATTCAAATCAGAAAAATATTCCAGCTTGTCAACAATGTCAGATTAACTATAGTCACACAATAGCAAGGAACAAGACAAATTCTCTACCTTTTACTGTCTTCAGAGTAGTACCAGAGTCATTTCCGGAGATAGGTTTTTATTAAACTCATGTTCCAAGCTGCATGAGATTATAGGGTATGCAGCACATCAGGCCAGATGCTTTATTGATTTGTCCTGGCCTTAATTTCCCTGAGAAGTCAGCATCTGCTCACCCTTTTTGCGTAACAGGAGCACAGACTAGACAAGCTCTGCTTTCAAGGTGAAACCGGACACCACTGAGGGCCTGTAATCAGAAAGTGCTTGCTCTGTTTCAGATGGGCATTGGGTAAAGGCAAGAGAAGTCCTCTGGTATCTTCATCCTCAGTCCTGCTCCTCAAAGCCAGACTCTGTGCTCTACAGTCATACCATCTTTAAATAGAAATCTGCAACAAGGTGAACACTCTCTCATATTGGGGCTGCTGAACTGTTAGTTCATAGTGATATCACAAAATCAGAAGCAAAGAGAAAGTATCTCATTTGATAAATCAAACAAAGAGCTGAGATGTGACAAATACTTTGGTTTCTTTCAATTTTTATTATTTTTCCCCTGGAATGCAGCTGACAAATATTTTAAACAGCTGCCCATCAGAATGGTATATTGTGGCCTTAGTGGAAATGTATATTGTTCATGCATGCTTTTTGCTTTCTTGACAGCATTTCATCTCTGCCATTGCAGGAAAACCTTCTAGCTGGAGTTTAGACTTAACATTATTCCATTCCTTCTTTTTTTTTTTTTTTTTTTCTGTATATCTTATGCAAGGTCAGATCACACAAACTTGTCCTTTCTGAAAATCTCAATGTAATTCAGTGGGACTAGTCAGGTAACCTTTGGAGAACTGAGCTCATATTCCCTTTTTTCATTTTACTGCAGTATTTACAAAAGACTGAACAACTGTCAGTTCAAACAGAAACCCGACTGACTGTGAAGAAAATGTCCCTGTGCAGCATTTGCTCTCCAGAATTAATCAATTAAGTGGTCAAAACTTATTTTCTTTCATGAAAAAGACAGGAGATAATATAACATTCAGCAACATTAAAAGGGAAAGTGCATTCTAAAGAGCACCTTGATTCCTTTTAATTTGCAGTTAAAAAATGCAAGGCTGCAATAGCACAGTTCAGACACAGTCAAGATTTGAAAATGTGTCAAAACTACACATCAGCTAAGGCTACAATACGAGCTTGTTCCTTATTTCCTGATGAGCAGCTGATTTAAAACAGTTATACATCATCTTAGCTGTAGTCAGTTAAGAGAGGAAAAAAACCCCAACCAAACATTGAAACTGCATCTCAGCTCTTTATGTTTGATTTATAGAACAAGGTATTTTCTTTTTGCTTTTGATTTTGTGATATCAGTATAAATTAACAATTCAACAGCCCCAATACAAGAGAAAGAAACATTCATTTTAGCTTAGACCATACCACCTTGCTTTTAAATGCTGGACAGATGCAAAAGATGCCAGACGACTCCTCTTGCCTTTACTCGATGCTCATCTGAAGCAGAGCTCCTGCCTTTACTTAATGCTCATCTGAAGCACCAGAAGCACTGCTGTTGAATCCAGTGCTTTCTGATTACAGGCCCTCAGTAGCACACCATGAGATTGTGGGCAACAAACTTTGATTGGTTTTAGCCTCATTTTATCCATCTGTTTTACAGGAGTAAGCAGACAGTGACTTGGCTTAGACTCAAGATGGTGAAACATCTCTCATTGGTCTGAATAGTTTTGGATGAGGCCTTAAGTGAAAGAAGCCCAAGTGAAAGAAGCATTCAGGAGATGCAGATGCCCCCCCCCCCCCTCCATGAATTATGCATGAGTACATTGTGATTGTCTTGATTCTATCCTCTGTTTTGAGATTATTCATCTAATTCCTGCAGATTTTTTTTTGTCTGTAGGCTGTTTGCAAGCAGTTCTAAGAGTCTCTACTCAAGCAGCTGCTAACCTCCAGGTGGGTCTGAAATTGCCCTGGCTTCCCCCTGAAATCAGAATAGAAGGTGGCAACACAAGACCGTGATAGTTGCATCTCTTCCCTCCCCTCTTTAATTCTGTCTTCTTTACATGATTCATGTTACCTTCCTTGTGTGTACTTCTTGAACTGAATGAGAATGGATCTGGTTGGAAACAAACACTTGTCTGTGGGGATTTCACTCAAGATTCTGCCATAGTTTTGAGAGAGCCAGGAAAAAGGGGAGAAAACATTAGATTAATTAAGGTGTGTTGGCCAACATTAGATCTGCTTTTCCTTGAGTACTAAGGCCCTGACCTTGAACGCATAATCTTTGTTGTATTCAGGTGTGCTTATAGACAGTTCTCCTTCTCCTAAAAGAAATAGAAGTACATATCTTACAGAAGTATAAAATACCTTACCGTAAATTCATAAGCTTATGATAAAAAAACCATAAAGCCATAGCTGGGAAACTAAGCTATATGCCCTGCAGTGCACTTTGGATACTTAATTACAAAGGGAAAGTTGTTACCTTGCAAAGCCTGGGTATGGAAGATGGAGGAAAACACAATTAAATGCAAGAAATGGGAGAGAAGACTGCCTGGGTTTGCTGTGAGTTTGATTACTCCCCCCAGAAGGACATAGAGTGTAACTGAGAGGAGGGAAATGCCTTGAACAGAATTTCAAATAGAAAAGCACAGGAAAGTCTCTACCTGTCAAAAGGCTGGAGTGATTTGTTTGCAGCAAGTTTCAGTGAGCTGCTGCAAATTAAAGTGGGATTAGGACCTCTCAGATGTTGCAGGAACACGCTGCAGTGAAAATTTGTCTTCGGATGAAACAACTGAAGATGTTACTACCTTCTCTTTCATGTGTGCTTCTTGGTATACCCTTATTTATGGATTCACTCTACTCTGACTGAATTAAATAGCTAAATACAAAATCAGATCATGTAGTATTAGACCTTTCCATTAAATCCTGGGGCTTGATTCATTTGCATTTTATTTTGTGTTTATAATGCATGCTTATTTTAATTACTACTGCTGCACTTTATTTGTAATTGTCTGTGCAATGCCCAAGCACCTTGCTAAGTGGATAAGGGAAGCACTTTATTCCATAACAACATAATTAATCCATTATTATTCATTATTACTTTTTTTCTGGAATGGACCAAAAAGAATCACGATTTTGAAAAATACAATACCAACAAATTATCTGTGGCAAAAATAATCTTCACCATTGTTTCCCTCTAGAGACCATCTCTCCTGAAGAGAGAAGCAGCAGCATTTAGTGACCTGAAAATCAGATTAAATGCTAAAGTTGCTTGCAATCAAGGATCTGTCCCTGGTCCAGGCCTCCTGCATGGCCTTGGACAAGGCAGTCAACCACTCTATGTCCTCATTTCCCTTTCCAACAGCTACAATCCTACCATTCACTTTCTATGGAACAGTAACACTTACTACACTAATGTGCAGAGCTGTGCAAGTGATGTATGTTAGGTATTGTGGCAGCATGATCAAAGGCACACAGTGATGGCTGGGTAAAAGAGGAGGCATTTCAGAGCTATGCAGGATTCTTGCCTACCAAGCGAAAGAACACATTCAGTTTCTTCTGATAACCTTGCAATTCCTCCTGAATGAATACCCCATCTTCACTGAATTTTCTTATTACAGAGGATTATGCAACTCTTATCTCTTGCAGTTTTGTAAGAATATCCCTGCACAGTCTTTCATGTCTGGCACAAAAGCATTCTGCTGCATTTTCCTTTGGCATATGCCCTCTGTATAAACCTTAAAGGTTAAGTATGGTCTTACCATTTTTGACCACCAGTTACTACACCCACAGAGAAAACAGTTTTTTTTCTGATTCTACTAACATGCTTGTTTTCAGCTTACCAATCCATGCCTGTAAATGTCTGTGTAATTTATGACAAAGATTTATTAGTAGAAACTAGGCTAATGAGGCTGGACAAGCAAATTAAAGGTGCACAAACAGTGAATGAATACATCAGGACCACTTTGCACAGTAAAAGTCACATCTTCCAATAGGCATTCAAGCATCATGACAGGAGACTTCCAAGCTGTTTTGCCCCACCCCCAGTCACCCAAACCAGGATGATTTCTCTTTTTAGTTAGCAACAACCTGCCTGTATACCTGGATAGGCCAGTATGATGTCTATGACCCTTATTTCTTCATTGCTTTTATCAAGCTGAGCTGCAAACGGACATGATGTCCAGTGCAAAGACAGAACTCTGTGCAGAGCTTGCCTTAAGAGTTAGAACAGCTTCCTCTGTTCTGCAAGATAAACAGTCTTTGCCTGAAGTCTCTCCTAACAAGGACAAGGTAGCTCTGTGTGTGTGTATGTGCATCTGTGACCATACCGACAGCCATCCCTGGTTGTCTCCCATCATGTACTGGTGCCAAAAGCACATTACTTCTATTGGTGTCCCTGGACTCTGTTCCTATGAGGCAAGACTGAAGTGATGCTGTTCAGTAGTGTCTCTGAAAGGAGACAGCACACCAGCACGATTTCCCAAACGATCACTTTCACACTTCCTCAAATATAGCTCAGGTGTTTTCACCTCCCCTGTCTTTTGTGCATGCCTTTTTTCACATTCCCCTATAATCACCTCTCCCCTTGCAAAATAATATCAGTTCCTCCTCAGTCATTCCCCTGTCACGAAATGTTAATGACACACTAGGCAATGAGATGGAGGAAGGTCTCCACTAAAACTTTCCAATAAAATCAAAAGTGTGGGGGGTATGAATGCTTTTAGTTGTTAGAGTTCACTCCAGGGTCTTTCCCCCCACCCCAGCACACAGGGGACATAAGGCAACGTTTCACAATCCTCCAAAGCCATCTCTAAGAACTTGTGAGAGAACTGCAAATAGCAGTTCTTTTTTAGGAGGAGTCTGTGAAGAACTTCTAATCCTGGTGATCCTGTTTGCATCAGTTTACATTCCCAGGGCTATCTGTGAACAGAAGAGCCTGGAAATACACCTTTCAGCTCCTCTGAAATGGAGATTCTCCTTTACATTGCTGGGCTACTCACTTTAGGAAATCCTTGCTACGGTGTATGTTCTGCTTATCTGAAAAGGCAAAATAAGAGTAGTTCTACACTCAAAATCACCTACTTAAAACTTTTTTGTTTGCTTTTTGTTCTGTGACCTTGCACCTTTTGTACACTCAGTCAAATCCATTGAAATGCTTGCCTAAAACCAGGTCTGACTGCTTGTCACATATCCTGGATCTTCAGCACCCACGGTGATAGGTGAGGATACCTTTGTGGAAATCAGCAGAATTGTTTGTGGATCTACACAGGAGTTCCTGAAAGTTATTGCCTTTAGCCAGGTTACTTATTGATAAATGCAATAGGAAACACACAGTTTCTCAGACCCAAGGCTCTTAAGGCTATGGATGAAGAAGAGTAAGGGAAGATGTTAAGAGATGAAGCAAACCTGTAACAGAGTGTAACAGCAAAGGCCCTGCCTGTCACTTGTCTGGTATTATTACATCCCCAGCTTCACAACCCGCAGCAAACCTCACACCAAGTCCTAGCTTTCTTCCCAAGAGCCTAAAGGACAACAGAGACTCAAAAGAACAACAAACTTCTAACATCCATTTTCCGTGGTAATCCATCCTTCCCTTGGGTTCAGATTGGCCTTTTGAATGCTAACAAGGGAAGTGATAGAAACAGGACCGTTACCAACAGTGCAGTCAAACCCAGCCACAGTTATTCAAGACACTTTGAGAAAAGAAAAAGTCCTCACCAAGTCACCCTGGAGAAGAACCGCAAAACCTAGTTCAGGGAGAACAGAGGCTGCGAAGGGCCCGCAGAGGGGCACTACCTGCCCGCTCCCTCCCGAGGGGTCGGTTCTCTCACACCGTTGAGAGCGGCGGTAGCACCCAGACACGGCCGGAGCGGCTCCCGCCCCCTCGCTGAGGGCGGAAGGGACGAGGCAGCGCAGCACCGCCACTCGAGTTTTACCTCAGAAACAAGGGCCCCAGCACCGCGATCGGGACCGGGACCGGGACCGGGAGCGGGACAGGGACGGGGACAGCTCCCACCCCGTGCCCCTCCCGCGCCTGCGCGGCCCGGCGGGGGAGCGGCGGAGCCTTTGCGGCGGGTCCCGCCCCTCTCCGCCTCCCACGGACTCGGCCGTGCGTGGCGCGCGGGGGCAGCCGATCCGATCCGAGCCGAGACGATCTGAGCCGATCCGATCCGAGACCAGCCGAACTGCCTCCTCCCCTCAGCTCCCCGCCCGCGAGAACGCGCGCGCGCGCGTGGCCACTGGTGGCGCGGCCGCGCGCGTGGGGCGGCTCGCCTGGTGTCGGCGCCTCCCCGCATCCCGCGCCGCTGTCGGCGGAGCCCGGCGGCCGGGCAGCGGGGCCCGGTCCCGGCGGCCGGGGCATGGAGAGCCTGCTGGAAAACCCGGTGCGCGCCGTGCTCTACCTGAAGGAGCTCACCGCCATCGTGCAGAACCAGCAGAGCCTCATCCACACCCAGCGCCAGCGCATCGACGAGCTGGAGCGGCGGCTGGACGAGCTCAGCACCGAGAACCGCAACCTCCGCGGGCAGCAGCCGCACCACGCCGAGCCGCCGGCGGCCCCCGCCGAGCCGTCCCAGGGCTCCCCGGCAGAGCAGCCCCCGCCGCCGCCGGGCCAGCCCGACCCGCTCCAGCACCACCAACAGCTCCCGGTGCAGCCGCCGCCGCCGGCGGGCAAGCAGGCACCCGCGGGCCCCGGCGGCAGCGGGAGGGCTGCCGGGCATCAGCACCCTGCTGCCCAGCCCCACCAGCACCCCGCAGAGAAGGACGGCAGGGAGAAGGGCTGCTGCGCCGCTCTGCTCCAGCACAAGCCCCCCCAGGCCATCGGCAAAGGCGTCCTGAGCCGGAGACCGGAGTAAGTGAGGAAGGGGAAGGGGGCGGGCAGGGGTGGCGGCGGGAAGCAGCCGTGGAACGGGCCCCATCCGGGCCCGGGTCCGAGAGGGGACCGGGCTGTACCCCCCTGCAGCCTTGCGGAGCGAGAGGCGGTGTGTGGGTGGGTGGGGAATCCCGCCCTCCATCCCTCCTTCCATCCCTCCTTCCATGCGTTCTCGGGGAGGGAGAGCAGGCAGAGTGCAAAGAGGAGCCAGGATGCTGCTTCCCGGAGGCGTTCGCCCCGCGGTTCACCCGTTTCATTTCTATGTACAAGTGTCTATGGTTCATTTCAACCCAGCCGTGGTGCTCACAGGGAGCATCGTGCCCTCATTGTCTGTCATAAATAAACAAGTCTTGGATCAAAGGCGACAGCAGCATTGTGACAGCTTCTGTTTGCCTTAACTCGCAGCTATCTGTCAAAATACCTCATCCTCCCTGGAACAGGCTGATGCGAGGGGTCTAGGATGTGCATTATATCGCACACAGTGTATATGTGTTCAGAGAGATACAGCTGCTGTATGTATGTTTGACATTTAGGATGCTCATCACACTTGTGTGTGGGTTGTCTGGGTTCTTTCTTTCTTCCTTTTATTTTATTTGGTGAGTGGCACCTCACACTGATCTAGCTCTTCCAAAGGACAAAGTATTTTTTTCCTGGTCTCTCCTCTTCAGTGAAGAAAGCATGCCTACTAGTACTGAATGCTGATAATGGTCTGTGTGCATGCATGTATAGTAAACAACGATGAGCGTTCCAGCACTATAGGTAGCGGAAGAGGCTACTATTGAGGAGTAACATTTTCTGGGATCATGTACCCAGTAGATGCCACCGGCTCACCAGCTGGTAATTACAACTGCAGTCAGCATTGTGATAACCCCCTTTGTTTAGGCACTTTGAAAGCAGGGGAATGTTTTCTGGTTGAACACCAGACTTTGTGAAGTCAGGAGGAGAAGGGGCTTAGTTTCTGATGTGGCTTCTTTTATGCAAGAAAGAAGTGAATATAAGTAGTAAAACTAGATCAGAATTCCTTTCCTGGAATGAACTCTGTTGTTTTGGTTATAGTAATGTCAAAACAAATGAAGTACACAGCACACTGTATAGCCCAACATATCTTCCATGTCTCTTCTGATAATTTAAATAGGAGGGACCCTTCTCTCTCATGTTTGCTTTGAATCCACAAGCATAGCTACAACATGGAGCTGGATTTTCAGCTGATGCAAGTACAGTTACACCACTTCATAGCAGCTAAGCTCTATCACATGACTCTATGAAAATCAGTGGAGAAATTACTGTTGAAATAAATACTATTAAAGGAATATGTAATGTCAAGGCATGCTTGAATCCCCAAAGGCAGATCCGTATTTCTAAAATACTGCACCGTATGACTCAGTTTCACAATCACAACTTGCAGGGAGTGGGCTACTCAAAGTATTAATACAGGTAGTAAGGATTTGCAGGATCTGGACCTTCTTCATCGTGCAATAGATGGAGTTTTAAAAATACATCGGACCAGACTCTGAACTCATGGTGATTGCTGTACACCCAGAACACCATAGTTAAGTCACTGAAGCCAAAACAGTAGGAAACCCACTTAAAAACACATGCTAAACCTCTTGGTTTTTTTCAGTAGTGAATCTCTGCAGTGAAGGCTCTGTTAGAAACATCGCATCAGCAAGGGCTTTCCTTTCTTCTGAACAGAGTTTCTAACATACGTCATTACACAGACTGAAGGATCAGTTTCTATGCATAAGTCTAAAACCCTCCTTCTTACCTGACCTTTTTCTTTTGCAGTGGGGTTTGTCTGGGAAAGAACTATAGATTTTTTTCTTCATAGTGAAGTGCTCATTGCTGGTGCATCATGCAATAATCTTTATATTTTAAGTACATAGATAGATGGATGTGGATGGAACCTTTATGTGGAAAGTCAGGGCTGCTGCTGGGGATAACAGAGCAATCCCTGCAGCGTTCTTCACTCGGGAAGATTAAAATAGACTGCTTTTGTTTCCTTCTATAGGTTAGGCAAACCAAAAGCTTTGTATGGGAAAGGAATTATGACGGATGTAAAACAGTCTACGTTTCTCACTCCGGCAGGTCATTTACCCAACCCCTCTCCACCCTGATTGTATATACCGGGTTTCATCCTCTCTTATCTTTGACTGTTAGAAGGAAATCAAACCAACTGCAAAATCTAACTTAAAGGCAACTTGGATGGAGGGTGGAGAATCTTTCACCACCTATTGACAGCATGCCCAATACCCCTTATGATCCAGCTTACCAACCCGAGAGTTGTATTTTTGCTTTTGTGCAACAGCAGGGGACATACACTTGAATACGTACACAGGCTAGGTATCTGCACTCTCCTCCTTCCTCCCCACATCTGAACATGCTTTTCCCTCTATTATAAACCCTGAAATTCAGTGTTATTTAATTTTCTTTTCTTTTAGCTAAGAGCATAGGAACTGACTGTTCACTACAGAAAATGGCCACTCTAAACAGAACAGAAAGGATATTTTACCATGTCAGGATGCAGTGGCTGAAAGCAAGGGTTAAAGCAGCACCCAGGCAGTGTCCTGCTGTCACTGCCCAGTAATGGAATTTCCTCTGCCTCTCACAAGACAGGAGGTTCTGGCAGCATGTTTAAGGGTACTTGTGCTCACCCTTCTCACCTCAGACACAGCCCGGGGATTTTGCTCATTTTGAGCCACAACTGAGGTTTTTTTTTGAGCCCAGCTAAACCTCAAGCCCTGAATAGAAGTGGAGGCCTGAATTTTGGACATGTGTGACTGTTCATGTCAACCAGGGGAGTCTTCTGTAAGGGGCTCGGAAGAAAGAACAACTGAAGCACCTCTTTAATTTTAAATAAAAGTTCAGTGTTATTGTTTGCTTTTTTAAAGAAGGTTTTCTTTTTCTAAAGCCCATATATATATATATAAGAAAGCTTTCATTTTAAAAGGGAACAAACCCAAGCCTATCTCTAGAAAGGGAGCAAATCCGGAGTTATGCAGGGGCCCCCTAATTGTTGCAGCGTGGTGTTGTGTGCGGAAGGTAGCACTGAGTTTACCTATGAAAAGAGAGGCAAGGAGGAAGATTTTTGCAGAGATCCTCAGCAAGAATTCGGCTGATTATTATTCCGTGGCATCTGTCTCTTTCTACCTTAGGAGTCTATTGCATAAGCACCTCACAGCTTTAAAAACAAAAAAATAAGGTCATTCGTCATGGAATGTTTTGCTTCAAAAATACAGGTTGCCAAATTAGCATAGCTTAGATCACCCTTACTAGGCAGACTCTTGTCTTAAGGGACCATCCCAAAGTGTCATCATCAGATCCTGTGAGTATAAATTTTCCTTCCCTTCTTTATCAGAATACTGCCTTCTTTGCCAATCCCCAGTTCCCTTTGTTGAGTATCAGGGAAATGCCACGGGGCTTAGCAGATTAAGTCTAAATGGCTCAAATCCTGCTGTTTTTTTATCAGTGGAATTCTCACTGTGAGCTCTGCCTATGGAAGGACTTCAGATTTTGAGCATGTTGAAAACTCACTTTGATAAATACAATTAGAATAATAGCTAATAATCCATTATAGTTCCTTCCATCAAAAGACACGTGCCATTTACAAACATTCTGCATTGAGGTGACATTAAAGTCTTCTTTTGACTCTTGCCAACAGTGAAAACAAGGCATAGAAACAGTATTTGTTTAGCATGACATGAAGGATCTAAGTACTGCCTTTAAACTATTAGCCGCTGTTTGCTCCACAAGGTAATCTCCTCATGCAAAATAAACTCTTAGAACTCTTGGAAGCAATGTTCTGAAATCACATTTTCCCAGAGGTCTTAAAGCTCATTTGGATATGCATTGGGCTGAACACTATCTTCTTTTATTTTATCTTTTATCTTTATTTATTTTTGGTTTAGGGTGGTATTTTTTATCTGAGTAAAGAGGCAAGTTTAAAAGACAATGTTAAAGTCACTTAGTTGCTGTTGTGGTCTGAGGCTGTTTGCTGTAGTTTTGTTTAATTTCAAAAGCTCAATTATGTAACTTTAAAATGAAGATATTATGCAGAGGTGCTGTTTTCCATATTTTTTCTTTTTAACTATGCATTAATGTTCTATTCTATGGATTATCTCCAGGGTAAAAGCGTAGACAAAATCCCACTGATTTCAATGGGTACTAACAATAACTATAAATATGATGGCTTTCTATTAACATATTTTGCTATATTTGCGCATTGCACCAGCACAAAAAAAAAACCCCAAACAGAAGATCAGAACAACTCTGAATGACTTGTGTACCCCAGATACCTGTTCCCTTCACTTTGGGTGCACAAGGAATGCTATGTTTGCCCTCTCTTTTCATTCTTTCAGATTTCCCCCAGCCTATTTAAGGGTTTAACTCCCTTGAGCTTTCACACACCAGAAATAGTTGCATTGGTGCTGCCCTGGGTTCTGCAAATCCCTGCTAGCAATGTACTGTTTCAGCATCTCAAGTTATTTGGAGTCGAGTGCTGTAAGTTGGTTTCAAATGGCAGAGGTCTGCATTGGAATAGCTACACAGATGCTAAAGCCCTGATCAAATGATTTTGAAGTAAAGGGCATAATGAGAGGAGAGACGAAAATAGAGTGTTTGTGGCTACGTCCCATCTAAAGATACATCCATACCAGTTCCATTCACATTGTAGTCAGTCTACAACATACTTCATGGCACGAACACACCTGCATGGTATCTACATCAGGACCTGTAAAGGCAGAAGAATATGGAATTAGGGATTCACAACAATATTTAAGAAATAACAGATGAAGAGAAAGATGCAAAAGGTCTCAGCTCAGGAAGGATTCAGGATGAAGCTCTAGGTATAAAATTGCTGAGTAAAGACAGCATGAGAAATTCCACCCACAGAGATACCACCTCAATATAGAATCACAGAATCATAGAATCAACCAGGTTGGAAAAGACCTTTAAGATCCTCAAGTCCAGCCATTACCCCAGGA